ATCCCTATCCCCAGACACCGCAGTAGGATATAAATTAAATTTGCTGGTTGGTTTCATCATTCATTCCACCATTCATCTCAGTGAAGTGAGTATGTTAGTCTTCTATCATCATTACTTTTGCCATCTGGCTTTTTTTCTAGGAGCCTCAGTAGTAGTCTAGGGGCCTGATGGAACTACCTGGGATCAGCTGCCTGTGTTAGGAGGAGGTCAGAGACTTTTGATGCTAGGAGCTGCGTTGATGTAGGAAAAAAGTTACTTTCTGGAGCTGTATGTGTTACAGCAAAAGCATCAGTCTGTGTGTCTTTCTCCCCCACCATATTGATCAAAAAGTTCATTTTAATGGCATTAGTACTGTTGATTTCAACAGACAGTCTCATGACCTGAAGCGTTTAGGTTTTGTTTTGAATTATGCTTTTCCTTTCAATACTTGTCATGTATTTTTTAGCTGTACGTGGTCATATAAAGTATTTGAAAAGGTGTCGTCAAACACCTTTTTGTCAGTGTGGTTGTAGACTGAGCAATAAGTAGATTTTTGAAATGGCTCTCAGGAAGAACTGGTGGGATGAAAGGTTAAGAAGGAAGAGGAAATACTGAAAAACACCTGGTATAGGTGTGATACTGTTGATATAGCCGAGTCTGTAGATCTGGACCAATAACATATGCTTGATTTGGGGAAAACAGTGGAGGGGACACAAGAAAATGGAACACTTAAACTAGGACTTTATTAGGCAGGGGAAGACAAGAATTTATTCCTACCTACTTATATGGAAAAGTACCTAGTTTCAGTTTTAGGTAGGTATCTTAGTTGCCTCAGTATCTCTAGAAATCACTGGAATCTGAGTACTCAAAAGTGAATTTGAACTCTCTGTGGGGTGAGAAGGTTAGAAGGTAGCTGATTTTCATAGGAAAATGCTCTGGTTTAGATATTTTGTGTTTGTAAATCTAATGCAAGGAATGGCACTCAGCATCAGCATATGGAGACGTTGCTGCCTGAGACCAGTAAGAGACTTGTAGCATAATTTTTTTTTTTTTCCGACAAAAATATTTTTATTTTGTCTGTTTGCTGTTGGTATTTTACTGGTATAACAATGTAAAAGGTCAGAAACATCTATATATGTTTTTTCAGATGATTCCATAATATGCATGACTGGAATCTTCCAAAGAAGCAATTAGTTAAAATATTAAGGAACAAAAAATATTTTCTTTAGACTTTCAAGCACCTGTATGTAAGTCATGTAATAGCTGTGGTTCAAAACTAGAACTTTTTATCTTTTAATGGTTGACTAACAACCTGAGCGAGTACAACATCGTGACCTGCTTGTGTATATAAGCATGATGGTTTTGAATAGAGCAGAATTTAAAGACTTCAAAAACTTGCTATTGATGAACTGCAACCCTGGTGCCCAGTAGTTTGTAGGTTGATAAAGAATAAAGCTGTATGAGCAAGACACCGTTATTTATGAAATGAAAAACATGGTGAAGTAGGCTTTGATTTTTGTCAGTACATTTTTCTACTTGTCTAAATTTATTGTTGCACCTGATAAAAGATTGAGAGGATAAGCTGACAGTGGTTGTTTGATCTGTATCTATAAATTTGACATGGCTTTAAGCCTATCTCAATTGACGTTCTGTTTCCCAGCATCTTTAATTTAATTTGAAAGAGTCCTTTTTTTCTTCTGCAAAGGTTATATTTTGTATTCCTCAGTGATTTCAAAGGGATAGCTTGAAATGCTGCTATAAAAATGCAAGGATTGAAGTGATACTCTCAACATTAAAGTAACAGAATTACAGCCTGGAAGAGAAGCTGACACTTTGAGAAGTGCTGTTCTTAATTTTTTTTTTTTTTTCTAACATTTCCTAAAAATATTTGAATTTGCTAACTCTTCCTGAAATTTCGGGCCTGACCATGCTGTTTCTGTGTTGGTCAAAACCCTTTCTGTCATTTAGTGCAAATGGTCAGCATAAAGAGCAAGTACAGTCCAGTTCTCCTGAACGGATTTAGTGATGTGCCATCACCAATATTAAACATTCTCTGTTGCCTTCTAAAAAAACAATGTCAGAAGTCCTTTAGATCCCTTCTGGTTCTGTCATTAACTTCTAGGAGCCTTCATTAAAATATTGGGGGACAATTCATTTGTGAGCATTTATCTATGCTTTGTGAAGCCCTCACATAATTAAAAATTAGAGATAACAGTGAGGGGTAATAAACTGACAATCTCTGTTGCCTTACTCAGATTTGCCCACAGATACACGTTCTAACTGGTTTTTCATACAGTGTTTCTTAAAACCTGTAAAATAAAAATGCTGCTTTCTGAAGTGTATTTAATTTGCTGAATGCCTTCTGGTCTGCTCAGAGTTGTGTTTTGAGAATTTTGGTAAATCTGAACATTTTTCCTCATTTGCTGTAATTAACTATTAGCCTTTTGCTCTGTATCGTACATAAAGAACAAAATCGCCACTGCTCTTCAATTACTTTTTTCCTGGAATAGCAATTTTCAGTGGCTTGGCAATGTCAAATAGAATTTCATGGCTTAAAGTGAGTGGTTTGTGAAGAACTCTGTGGATTTTGGTTTGCCTTTCTTTGGCAAACCATAAATATCACAGATACATAGCAAATCAGGAAAGCATCTAGCAATTACTTTAATATCTTGTTAATGACCTCTTAGTTATATGGTTTAGCTGGATTTGCAGTTCAGTTTCCATCCTCTTTTGAAGACGAAGACTGTGTATAATATGTGAGCAAAAAGTCCTGCAGTCCTTGTAATCGGAATAACATGGTCTTTTGGAGAAACAATCTTTCTGCATTGGGTGGCATGTGCCTGGCAGGAGGACGCAGAATGTTCCTCTTTGCCAAGGTGATGTGTCTGTTGGCTTCCTTTTACTTCTAACTCAGTATATCTAAAATGATGGCCTTATCTGAATGTGTCAAATAAACTTTTACTCATCCTTCCTCCAATACTCTCTCTTCCCTCCCCCACTCCCCCTTCCTTTTACTGAGATGTGTCTACCAAAGGTTGTGTATATGGCTTTTTGAGACAAAAGATACGTGGTGATTTAAAGATGTGACAATGCAAGAATGCTGTTCTGTGTTACACACTGATGTGCCTCAATCCCGTGGTTTACTTGATAATCTTTGGATAGTACCTAAAGATACACTTAGCTGCAAAGAAGTAATATGTAACATTTATGTAGTACTACACATTTTCAGTGACATACAAATGAGTCTGATAGAAAGACTGATCTATGTGGTACACCAAATAAATAATAATAAATATATTATATTCTGTGTTGTTATGGAAGTAATATAAGTACTGACTGCAGTTTATGTAATTTCTTTTTGCAACAGAATGCAGTAAGTATGACTTGTTTGCAGTGCTGATTTTGATGCATGCCGAATTTTAACTTTCCTATCTAGAGCTATGCAAGTTTTGCAATCTCTGATTGATAATTGCAGTTGGTGTGAGGGGCAGAGTTTGATGTGGCTGAAAAAGTTTGGTGATCAGCTATGATTTTGCTTTACGTAAAACTAAAATGGTAAAAGTAATCTGTGCTACCTCAATATTGTCTAATCTGCTTGTGTGTTCTTAATCTCGTTTTAGCAACCAGATCCTTAATTTAAAACATTTACATGATTGCAGTTGCCCTTAGTCATAACAATTGTATCACCATAACTTGAGTTTCACTGGTATTATATAGCAGATTTATTTGATAAGTGTAAAAAGCCATAGTGGTTTATTCTGCAAATTTTCAGACCTCCTAAATAACCAAAGTGTTCTTCATGACTAGTAATTAAGAAAGATTTAAAAAAAAAAGAAAAAAAAAAAAAAAAGACAAGAGGGAGGGAACCCCACAACCACAAAGCCAAGAAGACCAGCAGCAGATATCTAAAATTACTCTTGATTGCAATTATTTCTGCATATACATGTATGGAAGTCTTGCAATATTAATGACTTTCAAGCACTGGAAAAAAACCAGTGAAGCTGCTGTTCCCCTTTTCTTTGAAAGTGGTGTTTTAAACTTGTCCTCAGAATGGGCACCTGGCCTCCACACTGCACTCGCTCATTGATGATAACGGAGATGAAGCGGTGAACGACAGCTTTTGTGCTGCAGTCCTGGCCCTGGGGATGTCAGTAGTAAAGCTCCAGTTCACCTGAGTGCCAGGGCTTTACCTGTGGTATTTAGGGGCTTGCAGGGGCCATCGTTTCCGATGCTGCTGTAATGTCCCAGCCATACAGCTGTGATGGGGTAGGCTACCATGGCTGCAGCCGCTGAGCAGCCTTTCCCCTGCCCACCCCTCTGTCCAGGATCTGCTCCATTCCCCGGTCCCTTCTGAAAAGGGTCACACGTGTGCTTGCTCCCTAACCCAGTTTTATATGAATTAGCCTTTTAAACGATTTTTTTGGTTGATAAAGTTCTTTTAATTCCCATCTTTTCAGGGGGCAATTCCATGAGCAGTTTGTTGGCAGGGAGGAGGTGGGTTGACCTCTGGAGCCAGTAATCCCTTAACCCAGGCTCAGCTGCAACCAGAATAGCAGTTTGGGCCTCGGTCTGTAGTGAAATAGGATACTTTATTTGCTACTGAGTGATCCTGGTTGAAAAAGAGTTAATGCTACCATCATAATTTTGTTTATCAGAACCTGCAGGAGACTACATTTTAGACACAGGAACAGATTAGTGCAGGCAAAACTATTGTTTATTCCCTGACATCGCAGGCCTCCTCATGAGTTATCCTGAGGAATCGATACAGAGGCATCATGAGTATAAGCCTACAGTTTTTGTCCCTCCCCATGGAGGAAGCCTCAGGCAAGGATTTGGTCTAAAATTTCCAAACTAATCTCATTCTCAATAAAATATTACTCAAACCATCATATCGCAAAACTGGAGTAAGAAAGAGTAGTTAATAAAGCAGCTTGTTGACTTGCAGCTGCTGCAATAACTTACTCCAGCTGGGTTCCAGGGTCTTTACACAACAGCAAATACAAACATGCTTTATCTGACAGGACAACAGCTTTGAGCAATTCATCATCAACTACTGTAATGAGAAGTTGCAGCAGATCTTCATTGAACTTACCCTCAAAGAAGAGCAGGAGGAATACATCCGAGAGGTAATACTTGAATGGATCTTTCCTTATCCTCTCCACTTCCCATTGTCCCTGTAAAGATACTTTGGCACGCATACTGGCTCCTCTTTTCAGGGAACAGAGTCACTTTTTGACCACAGGCCTGGCATGGAGCATGTTTGTGTAGGACTGCGTTGTAGTTACATTAAGGAAAAAAAAGTCAGTGTTGGTTTTGTTTCACAATGTGAGTTGTCCAGGTATAAACCAGACCCAACTCTCATTCATTGGCAACAACGACTGGAAGTTCTGAACAAGGGCTAATTAATTTATTAGAAGACTAATATTGCTTTCTGGTATTAGTGCCATTACCCTACAGCCTGTGTTTTGGATTACACAGTAGCGTCTGGGATACAACCCAAGAGCAGCCACAGCTAATCCTGTTTCAAAAGAGAATTGGGTGGGTAAAACAATAGCATGCAAGATGAAAGAAGCCGAAAATAGATTTTTGGTTCTAGTTTTCTTTCAGTTAAGTATTGAAGGGCGCTCTGTGAGTGCTATGGGTAAACTTAAGATGTGCTTTGGAGCCCAGACTCTGGTGTTTGATTTTATTCAGTGAGTGAACATCGAGTTGAAGTTTTAATAGGTTTTCGCAGTACTCCCCATGATATGCAGAGCTCAGACAAAATACCAGCTCACAGAATACACTGTACTTGAATTGGATGATACCATTTTCCTGTATAAACAGTTTTAAAAGTTAAAAAAAGTTCCTGCCTTTTAACCCTGAGGATAATATGCAGTTTGGGCATGTCTTTTTTCTTTTTGCATTCAGTGGTGAAACTCTTGAAACATTGTTACTGCAGTTTGGTTCTTGAATGATATTTCAAATGCTCTGAAAAAACTAAACTGTAAGAAGTACCACAGAATGCAAATTAAGAACAAAATTAATATTTTCTTTTTCCAGTCCTTTGCCCTGCCAGTGCTATCCCCTGATGCATTGGCATCTCCTCCTGGAAATTCTATTGCTGATATTTGAAAAAGTTGGGATATTAGCAATTTCTGAACACCAGCCAGACTCTGGATTTTTCAGATGGTCTCATCTAAATTTAGCCCTTTCTTCCTCCCATTAAAAAAAGCCCCAACAACTAAGAGCTTAGAAATTTTGATCTTAGATGCTTGCAGTGAAATGGGCTTATTTCCTTACAGCGAGTGGGAGCGTGGGCAGAGCGGTGCTGGGGCGGGCAGGGGGCGGGAGGAGCCTGGCAGGGTGCCAGGGGAGTGCATGGGAAGCTGACACGGGTGGGGGAAAGGAATGGAGAGCGGGTTTGGCAGCCACTCAAGGACAGTCGTTTTGCGCAGATAATGGTAGTAGTAGATGATTGCATTTATTTCTTAATAAATAAAATGTTGGTAAGGATAGAGAATTAAATTTGAAAGTAGTTATCTTAGTTAACTGGATTATAATTTAAATTGCCTAGAGGAAAAGCTCCCTCGATTATTTTCCTGTTCATACATTTATTTATTTTTTTTCTTACAGGGGATTGAATGGACTCATATTGAGTATTTCAACAATGCTATAATTTGTGACCTAATAGAAAATGTAAGTTATATTCAAGAATCTCTCTGAATAATTTTTTAATGCATGGATTGAATTTAGCTGTAAAGTCTGTACGCATCCTCATGCACTTCAATTTTATAAAACAAGCCACTCATTGTATTAGTCATCTTATTTTGTATGATAAAAGTTTATTTTGCAAAAAAAAAAAAAAAAATTTTAGAAGTATGTTACTTTGTTAGAAATATTCAGCAGCACCTACGCAAAAAAACCCCACCCCACCCAAAAACCCAAACAACACTTAAATGTTTATGTTTAGTGCTGTTTTCAAGAGCAGATATCACATGCTGCATTGTAAATAACATTTGTTTTTATATGGAAACTAGAAAACTCAATGACTTGTTACTGAGTGCTTTAGATATAGAAAGTACTTGTATCTAATAAGAGGACTTCCTATGGATTTAGTACAGCAAGAAAGATAAAATTCCTTAACAATCAGAAAATAACAGCTTTTAACCTTTAACATAAAACCTATGCTGGTTTTACCCATAAACTGGCTACTTTCAGTTAAGTTGGAGTTTCTGTAGTCTGAGTAAATGAAACGAAATTCCAATGTGAAATTCAAGATTCAGATCTTGGAAGCAGTCTTTCAAAAACAGAGATACTGAAGTCTGTTGGAAATGGGGATGAGGAAAAGAACCAAACTTTGAGATGGCTTGAAGAACATTTTTCTGTGTAGCAGAAGATAAACAGGAGAGAGTGGTCTCCTTTTTATGCCTTGATGGAAATGTGATGGAAACAAATACTAAAGCTCTTGTCTTGAAACTTCAGAACCAAACTGGAATCCTGGCCATGCTAGACGAAGAATGCCTTAGACCAGGAACTGTTACCGATGAAACCTTTTTAGAAAAACTGAACCAAGTCTGTGCCACTCACCAGCATTTTGAGAGCAGGATGAGCAAGTGCTCCCGGTTCCTCAATGACACCTCCTTGCCTCACAGCTGCTTCAGGATTCAGCATTACGCTGGCAAGGTACCCAGTGAAGTGGGAAGTACGCGGTGTTTGGAGGGTGTTGCACCTGTGAAGCCAACGTTTGGTACAATGGGGAGGGTCTTTGACCATTAAATGATGTTACAGTAATGAAGGAGAATTGCTTGAGTCAATAGTCAATCAAAAAATCCAGACCTGTCTTAATCTTTTCCATCTTAAGCCTAAAATGCATGGTTGGGGCTGGAAGGTTTTCATGCTGCTCTAGTAGAAATCAAGCGCAGTACTACTTTCAGCAAAGGAGAAAGATGTCCCATGTGATTTGGTGGCCAACTGCTCAGGCTGCTAGGTCTCTGGAAATAAAAATGTTGTTTAGAATGACAAGAATTCACACACATCTGAAGGCAAGATATTTTGGAAAACATGCTCTTTGTCACTGAACTAGTTGAAGTCCTTAGTCATGTTGATGAGAAAGTGGAGTTTTGGTACATTTGAAGGAACCGAGTTTATTTTCACAGCCTGTGTGTTTAAACAGATGGAAAAGAAAGCTATACAGAGGGCTTGCAAGTGTATTTGCTTTTTACAACACAAGCAGTATGAATAAATACAAGTCTGACAGTTTTTGATGTATAATTCAGTATGACTTGTTATTAATGAAAATCAAAATCATTAAATTTGTAAAAAGAAGATAACTTATTTAAATGTAAAAGTAAACATAGGGGGTGAAACTGTACCTTATTTGAATCTGCTGAACTGTTAGTTTTAGAGAGTAATGAATATTTGCAAAGTGTTTCATTTTGCTAGAACTGTTTAATACTTCCCTATTTTTTAACATTTTCTCAGTCTTACAATTTTGAATAGCTTGATAACGTGCTCATTCAGAATAGTGTTGGAAATGTCATACTTTCAGCCTCTGAGGCAGCCGTTCATTAACATTGTTATGTATTTGCTAAGAATATTTTGTATTTGCATATAATCTATTAGGGATTAATACTTGGAGAATTTGTTGGTTGTCCAAATTCAAAGTGAACTGAAAATACTGCAGTGCTTTGAGAAGGACGGCAAACAGGCTGTGTCTTAGAAGGCAGTGAGGGTCTTCAATTGTTATTGGCATTCCCTTACTCAGTGGAGCAGACAATAAATTCCTCCTATTTTGGGAGGAATGTTGTTTTTCCATCCTCAACTGGGAACATTTTGATCTAGTCACTGGGCAACAAAAGTTTGATTCTCCTTTTATGAAATATAAACAAGTTCATATGAACAGTTTTGGGTTTTTTCAGTAGTGGCATTTACCACACCTGTCAGAAACAGAAATGTGTACTCCAAATAAAAATGCTACCTGAGTTCCCAATCACTTGCTGTGGTGTAAAATACAGCTATGTCAGTATTAGTTTTATTCAGCATTCTGTCTACATAGTACATACCTACATAGAACTGAGAAATCATGAAGCTGAAGAATCTATATTAGCAGCCAGGTGACTTGTCACAATTAATCAAGCTAAATTCCCTACCCTCAAAAATTAAAAGAGACAGTAGCAATCAGAGATCTACATGAATTTCCCCTGACACCTCCTGGGTCTCCAGCTGCAGGTCAGAGCTTTGCATTCATTCTTGTTGGCGTTGGACTGTTTTCCTGGTAAAAGTCCTTTAAAAATAACAGGCCCTGAGGACTGCACAGATAGATGCTTGCTGTTGCGATATCAAGAGGTGATATTTCCTATCTTGTGTTAGTTAGGCGAATAATGTAAGCATTGGTACTTTGAAGGAAAGGGTATTTTTGCTGTTGTGATTCGAGAGAGGGAGAAAACCTTTTGTCGGCCAAAAAAGATTGGTTTGGAGTATTGGCAAGTGGTGATGTATCAGAGTTATTATGGAAGAAGGGGTTTTTCCATTTCAGAAACCAAAATTGATCAGCACAAGGAATTGTTAGCAGTGTGAGAAAATGCATCTTTCCCAGGAAATGTGTTAACAGAAATTTTATCCAACAAAACAATCTTCCAAATGTCAAATTTAAAATGAAAGCTGAAATGTTTTTCGTTTGTTTTGGATAGTGAGAAAGAAAGAGAAATCCATTTCTTGGTTCAATTTTGAACTGGCCTGCGTTACAGTTCAAAACATGCTCTGATGAGACTCTTCTGTATTCTTCAGGTTATGTACCAGGTGGAAGGATTTGTTGACAAAAACAATGATCTTCTGTACCGTGACCTCTCCCAGGCCATGTGGAAGGCCAGTCACTCCCTTATCAAAGCGTTGTTCCCAGAAGGTAACCCCGCTAAGATCAATCTAAAGAGACCACCGACGGCAGGTTCACAGTTCAAGGCTTCAGTTGCTACCCTGATGAAAAATCTTCAGACAAAAAATCCAAACTACATTAGGTAAATTACCCTGTGGCAAAGCTTTGGTAAATTTATGTTTGGTGAAGTTAAAAAAAAAAAAAACCCCAAACAAAAAAACCCTCTTGATATCCAAGGATAAACTATTGAAATCTATGGTTTAAACTCACAATAATAGTTGTTGACATGTACAGTGCTGCAAACAAGTGTCCCTGTTCATTTCCCTTTCCAGGTGCATCAAACCCAATGACAAAAAGGCTGCACACATTTTCAATGACGCCCTGGTGTGCCACCAGATCCGCTACCTTGGTCTTCTGGAGAACGTCCGCGTCAGAAGGGCAGGTTATGCATTCAGGCAGGCGTACGAGCCTTGTCTGGAAAGGTACAAAATGCTGTGTAAGCAAACATGGCCCCACTGGAGAGGGCCAGCCAGGTATGAAAACATTAGTATTCTTACCTGTCCTGTTCCAGTGATTGAAATTACTATCTTCCACATGTTCTGATTTATTTTTTTTAAATTTAAGAATCTTTCAAGTATTTTAAAAGTAAACTAAACAGGAAGTCAGTGTGACTCAATTGTTTTATTTGTATGTTGTTCTGTCACTGGGAAACCTATGTTTTTCAGTAGGCTAAAAATTACAGTTCCTTGACAAAGGAAATTATTTTAGTGATGAACTAATCTAATGGAAAAGATTTTGCATGTGAGCAAGGAGAGCACGTTGTTTTTAGAATATATTGGGCCTGAAAGAAAGGGCAGAGGGGAGAGAGAGATACTGGAATGGAATAAAAATGACGAGGAAGTCTGGAATGATCAGAAGGACTCTTACCTTTTAATAACCAACTTTCAAAGTGTAGGAACACTCATTTCTTTGAAGACAGTCATGCAACCTTCCTCCGTCCTTTCAAGAATAATTTTACATAATGATTGGTGAACAACTCTGAGATAATACCTGTATTAAATATAAATATCTATTAATTATGTATCTGTATTAGTTCAGATAACACTGTATTAAATATGTAATTTTAAATTGCATAGTATTCACATGCATTTTACCAGATGATGTCTTGCATAAGCAAATGAGTGTCTCTTAATTCTTTTTACACATGGCCACCAATGGCATGATTTAAATTTCTTTCATAATAGATTAATATCTTTAGCTACAATTCAAATCTTCAGGTTCTCAAGATCATGGTGGAAGAGCAGTATTGATAACAATAGTATTGTTACAATCCTCACAAAGTTCTGTCCTCTCTTTTCTTTTTTGTTGACATTTATAAAATGCAGTTGGTAGAGTGTGAAACATTAGCATTTGTCAAACTCATCAGTCTTTATTTCACATTTTGACATTAGTGTGAGAACTCTTCCTTTTTTCTCCTTTTTTTTTTTTAAGTAAAATCATTATAGATGTAAGAGGAAAAATTAGGCCATTGCTGATGATGTTAAACAAAAATTGCGCTTTTTCATCAAATTATTCTGAATCTTTACAGTGATTATTCTTGCCTTTAGCTAAATCACCAGTGAGTAAATGAGTTAGGTTTTCAATCTTCTTATGTCAAGCACTATTTAAGAATTTAAAATATACTTTCATATACTTTCCATAAATTAACCTCTGAATATGTAAACTAAGAAGTTTTAGAGCTGGCGGTCATGTTTGTTAAGCTCATTTACTTCTGCTTAGGGCTGGAGTAGAGGTACTGTTTAATGAATTGGAAATCCCTGAAGAAGAATTTTCATTTGGTAGATCAAAGATATTCATCCGCAACCCAAGAACGGTAAGTGAAAAATGTCTTCCCCTGCAAAATCAAACCATCTTTCATGAGGATAGCCTGTTACGAACTGCATAATTCACTAGCTGGTTACTACAGATTTTTCTAGATATGGTGCTTTGATATGTTGTTGTGGACTGTAACATTAAAAAAGGCACTTTTTAATGTTGGACCCATTAAAATTGGTGTGAATCCAGACTCTACAATAGCTGTTAGCCTGAATTTAACATAACTTTTGTGCACTGACTTGTGGCAATGTACCTGCCACAAACCCTGTTGATGTATCTGCCTACAGCTCTGAAGATGAATAAACCGAAAGGTGAAGGGGGACTTGAATAAAGGAGAGGTTTCTCTTACAATGGCTGTGCTTATGGGTTTTTTGGTCTTTTCTCCCCTATTGTTTTTTTTCCAACGTCAAAACCCTAAAAAACGCCACACCCAGCTCTTCAAACTAGAAGATCTGAGAAAGCAGCGGTTGGAGGACTTGGCGACACTAATTGAGAAGATTTATAGAGGTTGGAAGTGCCGCACACGCTTCTTGTTAATGAAAAAGAGCCAGATTGTCATTGCTTCCTGGTACAGGAGATATGCAGTAAGATAATATCCTTACTAAGTGGGGGGTTCTTTTTATTGTTTAATATGTTTTTTCGTATAACCTTGATATGATATTTCATATAACCCTCATTATATTTTTCCATGATATGTATGGAGAAGTGTTGACAGAATTCAATTTTATGTTATTATTTAAGTACCAAAAATGTAAATTAAAAAAAATTAGTTTCTAGAGACCACTATTGAGTATTTACTTTGTGCTTGCACTTAAATAATTAAGAAGCTCACCAGAGTCCTTTAGGACTGGGAGAGCAGGATTTTGTGGCCCAGCTGGGAAGAGTTTTTTTCATTCAGCTAAAATGCTGTGCTGCCTAGCACTTAGAGTGCTCTCAAAACATATGGTTAATGTGTAAATATGTTCGGTAATGTACATGTGCAATTCTGTGGAATTCAATCATTCCTAAGGCTTTTTGTATTTTTGCCTTACTTGGAACCTTTGCATCTGAGGCTCAAGAATGCTGCTTGGGAGGACACCGGGGATTTATTTTAATTATAGCTCATAAAACTTGTGGTTCAGTAGTTGTTATTGATGCAGTTCTAAACCAGTTTCAAATCTGTTTGTAGACTGGGTATTCTATGTCATGAACTGAACAGTACTGTTCTATATTCTATGACTCTTCCATGTCTTTTATTCAGTTAGCATATAACATTGACTTATGTGATAAAAAAAGATTTATTGTTTTTAAACTTTAAAACAATTTTTAAACAGCTGCATTTTGTTATTGTCTGCACATCGGAAAGCTTGATAAAATATATGATATGGAAAGAAAGCATCTTCTTAAACTGCTAGTTGCAGAATTGACAATCACTGTTTTTCAGTCGAGCACTTCTGCTCATCACCCTGAAAGCCATTAGTGTTCGGTGCAGTTATCTTGGATAATTAGAGAAAAGTATGGATAATTCAGAAAAAGTATGAATAAATGCTTTTTCACTGTAAAAATTCTTCTCTCTGAACTTCTGTGATTGAATGCACTGTTTCTACAAACAGCATCATGACAGAATTGCATTGTGCCCATATGGCTTCATTATGATCTCATACGATCTTAATGAATTAAAAATGAGTTACCACAGCTAGATTGGCATGACTTTTAATATAAATAAATGAAAAAAAATATGTGACCAAGTTCACATCATTGCCTGTTTCTTAACTTGTAGACCTTTATTGGTTCACTGGTGAAACATGGCAGCAATTGCCTTTGAATGCAGGATGAAGTCATAGCAAGATCATCAGAATTAGTTACGGGTGACGATAGCGGTATTTCCTCAGCCTCTTCATGTAGATGGAGGGCACCATTCTCCTCACCCAACATGACTGTTAGGCACTGTGATTTGGAAGGTTTCATAAGGAATCCCTTGCATGAACAAAGCTTTTTGACAACTCCTTGTGCTGGAGGCTTGGCTAAAGGATTTGCAGACACTCGCCTGTCTGTTCCCTTGCAAGGAATGACAGACGTCAGTCATGAAATGAATGTGGCCTAGAGGGGAGTCTTTCTAGCTTGCTCACAGAGATGTTCACTGTAATTGAGTGGGCTAAGTGTGAAGTCTAAAAGCCTTGTTGCAAAGTCTTTCAACTGTTGTTCACTTAGTATTCTTCTCACCACTGATCCTGGAGAACTGAGCTTTTTAGAAGGAAAATGCTTGACTGTCTAGGAAATTTATTGTTCAAACTAGCATACTTGGTTAATATTCCAGCATGTCATTCAGGAATCCATGGGTTTTCTTTTTTCCTGTTCCTAATTTATCATCAGCATTCGGTATTATAAAGGGACGTCGGGTAATAGGAACAGCACTTATGAAAAGATGGTAAAAAGCTTAGCCAACAAACCTGAGCATTTGTGATGGTTTGTATGCTACACTGTTGGTGGGAAAGACAAATAAAGCTGTTACTGTTAGTATTTAATCCATGTCACTTTTGTGCTGCTGACCATGAACTTAGTGTTTCTGTAAACAGAGAGTGACATTGTCCATGCAGCATTGCTGAACACAGAACCTATGCTCTGATCTGCTTGGTCACAAATTGCTCACTTTTTACACTTAGTGCTTGCATCCTTAATAATGTTTTCAAATGTTAGTAATGAAAGTTTTATGATACAATATTTTACAATTGCAATATTCTGTTCTAAGCGCCACATATTTATTTCCAATACAGCAACAAAAAAAGTATCAGAAGATAAAGAGTTCAGCTATTATAGTACAGTCTTACATCAGAGGATGGAAGGTGAGTTTCCCGATACTGTGCCTATGTCTGCATGGTGAGGTAAGGAGCAGGTCAGAAAACACATGCCTTCTGTCCCCTGAGCTGTGGCTGTGCCGTAGCCATTGTTAAACACTTGTGCTTGCCATTGAAGAGGCAAGTTTGGGATATCTGCTGGTAGCCTGCATTCTAAATCCCTGCAAACGGTGTGAGTAGAAGGTTGGGGCCGCACTATACTACCGGGTTATCCTTGGGACATCTTCTGCCAGAGAATTTGGAGACACGTGCCCTCTTTACATGGGCTTCAGGACTGGAGTGTGAATGAGTGAGACTGGTGTTCAGAGCAGATCTAGGTACGCACTGACCAGGCAGCCCAGCAGCTCCAGAACGAGACGGTCCGGGACTCTGCCACTGGGTTTATGACAACTGTAATGTTGGACTGATTTGGAAGAAATAAGTTGTGGTTGGCAGTTATTTTACGGTTAACAGGATTCTCAAAGAATGAACAAAATTGGAAGCAGGCTTAAAATAGAGAGGCTGGGTCACCTGGGCAGTATGTTACTTGGGTTGTCTTCAATTCTCCTCTGTGTGCTAAGCGAGGGGGTGAAAGTGTGCTGTGCTCAACTTGTGTTAAGCAAGTACTTTATCGCTGTTTGCTTGTCCTCTGCCTCAATTTGCCACAACTTTGCTTCTTCTTTGACAGGTTTGTACTTCATGAAGGGATAATCCTGCAGCCATAGTAGACACTTAAGGTGTGATGCTGTCATAAGAGATAAAAATGAGGTTAACAGCTCACATGGAAGCAGACACAGTGCTTAAAGGAACTGCTGCTGTCCAGCTTCAGAAAAAATGTCCCTGGGCTCCTCTGTCTTCTTATTAACCTTCCTCCACCCCACTAAATATGGCTTTCTCCTCTATTTAGGGAAGAGAGAACTGCCTTCAATTCTGGAGTCAGTTCCCTTCCTGTCAGACAGGGAAGGAAGGGGCTGCAGTTATTAGCCATAGGTGTTAACAGCCCTCTCCTACCCAGAAGGTTTTAAAGTTTGCCAGTAATAAGCTACTATAATTTGATTTTACTGTTTTTCTTGCTTTTTACTTTGTCTTTATTATTTTGTTTAAATGAGTTAAAAATACCCTGTTCACGTGCTGTCTTTTCCCATGAGCATTATTTGGAGAAAATTGGGTAAAAGCATCATCTCATCTTGAGTTGTGGTTTTCTGTTTGTCATTGGAGAACACGCTCTTTTGCAGAAACACTGCCATGGATAAAAGCCTGGTTTGACAGCAGCCTTAAGTGTGACCTAATGCCAGGCAATTTACTTGTGATTTATTCTTTATTGCAGTCTAAATGGGTAAGACATATACTGTGTGGAGGAAAAGTATTATTGCCATCATACAGACAGGCATGTAGATATCTCAGGTGATGCAGCAAATCTGGGAGAAAACTAAACACGGAACTAAGATCCCCTGAACTGCCAGTCCCAGACTCTCACCTGTGCACAGAATCATCCCTGGAACAGCAAATGTTAGGCTGCATAGCATTTATTAATTTGGAGACTTGGAGGCATTGTGGTTTGGTTTTGCCTAGGTTTACAGGTTGCAGTGCCTTGGAGTGAAATCATTAAGACATTATAGTTATTTATTTGAATAAAATAATGTTTTCATTTGTTTACAGGCTCGGAAACTTCTTCGGGAACTTAAGCATCAGAAGCGTTGTAATGAGGCTGCCACAATAATTGCCGCTTATTGGCATGGTACCCAGGTAAGAAAATGGCAACAAATTGTGCACTTTATTGTCCCTACATAGAAGGCCCTTCAGGATAAAGTTATCTGGGAATATTTTCAGTGGCTTAAACTACTGATTTTTATGTTTCTCTTTGCTGCTAACATGTTTTAGCTGGTGCAATCTGGGAAGCTGGGACATGCTTTAATATTTGCTGGTTTTAGCGAATGGTTTCTTCCTTTCTTTCTTGCACCATTGTGAACTTGCACTTGAACCTTTTCTTTTCTAAGCTTTTCTATATCCCATTTTCAAATGCATCACAGGCGCGAAGGGAACTGAGACGACTGAAGGAGGAGGCTAGAAATAAACATGCTATTGCTGTTATTTGGGCTTACTGGCTTGGATATAAGGTACTTTGTGCACATGTCACGTGCCCCCCTTCATTACCCAACAATATCAACATTTAATCAGTAGTAAATAGTGAGAATTAATGACTAATACAATTGACTTTAAAATAATAGAGCATGATCATTGATTCCTTCCATTTCCATTCATGCCACACTTAATAAATCTGACAACGTTCTGTATGTCAGTTTTTTGTAGAGTACGAAATTCTTTGCATGGCAGCCAAGCAGTGATTTGCACTAACAAGTCATTAGACTAGATTAAAAATGACTAGACTACAGTATTCTCAATTTAGGAAATGCATTTAACTACATGTAAATATGCAAAGTGCTTTCAGTGACACTGTTTAGTGATCCAATTGAGATTTTTCACCAGGCTGTATGTTCTGCACCCTGGACAGCCTTCATTTACAAGTTCAAACCAACGCTATTAAGTTTTATTAAATTTTCGTTTTAATTGGTTTGATTGATTCCCTGGCTGTGATTTGAATCAGTAAGAAAATTTCAGTAAGTACAAGTAAAGCACAGTTTTATGACCTGATCTTTTAGCAGAAAATTATGTTGGTTTGCAATTCTAAACTTACAGCCCTAGAAAAATCCCAGGAATTCCAGCATCAGCTGTTTGTTTTCAGAAGCAAAGTCCCACTGAAAGATTCTTGCTAATCCCCAGCCTGCAGTTGTGGGTTATGTGAACATTTGAAATGCTGTTCACTAGAGGTCAAAAATTTATTGGTTTCAATTAATAAATTCATAACTTAGTTGAAAACCACATTCAGTAAATGCATTAAGTTTAAAATATCTTCCAGTTATTATTTAGGTTGGAGGGTTGGGGGGGGTGTTGTCAGAACACCTTGCCAACTAGATGGAGAAATGTGCTCAAATTACATCTGGAGTATAATGCTGAGTTTGACCCTTGCTATGTTGATATAAATATATTAGATTTCTAATAAAATGGCAGCCCTGGGAATCCAAACACACACGTACAGAATTTCCCTCATACTAGAGAGACTTGCATCTTTTCAGATCTAGCTTCATATTTAGGTACCTCTGTAACGTGATAGACACACTGCTTCCTCTACATTTGTTTAAATGCAATACGTTGATAGTTTATTTTTAACCAGAGTTCCTTTCACCAAAAAAAATTCACTGCAGAAGTGATATTTACTTTCCTAGGTTTAAGGTGTTCTTTAGAATTAAAAAGAACACATCCAGAAAGCAATGCAATAGTGTTAACTGTGTTAGAGCTCCTCATTAAATATTAGTAGATTTGGATAATTTTTAACATGTTTGAGTAGTTTTTTTTATCAATTGGCTCACAGGAATTCCATGAAAAATTGCCTCCTTATTCCTTAAATATAAATAATCTAAATATGTGTATATCTAAAGATAATAATCTAAATTGAATTAAGATTAGAAAAAGAATTACAGCATCCGATAAAAGATAAAACTTGTTATTGGTGTGATGTTTTATCTTTTCTCAGGGGAATGCTTAAAACAAAATTTCTGAAAGTTATCCTCAGAGATCACTTGCTTTACCACAAAAAAAAAAAAAAGTTATAGACCTCAAGTACTCAGTTTCCTTCCTTTTCACAAGACAAACACTTAGCTTTGCAGAGTCCTTGTTTCCACAGTGCTGTATAGTAGGAGCTTTTGTTCCAAGCTCATGCGTGAAAACATAGTCTTTCTGAGAGCCTGCATCTAATGCAAATTCACCTTTCTAGCTGCGTCAGAGAAGTGTAATCAGCGCAGGCTGGAACTGCTCTTGCACAAGTCTGTCTGACAACACATAACTTGACATCTGCAGATACATGGCTGGAGCTGCTGTCACTGATCCTGTAGTACTGGAACTCTTAATTTCGCTTGAGTTTTATCATCAGATAACTGAAAAACAAATGTACTGGTATCTCCTAAAATGTGAGATTCTGTTAAAGTTGCCCACACGTGCCTGTGTGTTTAGAACACTTTGCAAATTGCTTTCCTAAAATGGGAATGATTAAATGTAAGTAGGTGCCTATCTCTCTGTACAGGAGGAAGGCACTATGTTTGGGGGGTTTAGCCCTTCATTCCATAAAGACAGACATAATTTACCAGGCTGGAGAATTTTTTTTTTAAGTACATAAAGATCAAAATGAAAAATAACCTCCAGAATAAAAGCCCTCAATATAGTGCTGGTAATTCATCATTGTGCACATAGTTTCAGAGTTGATTCTATTCTGCCCAGGCACTTGGCAGTGGAAGAAGTGACTAGATCAAGAGATTTTAGTAAGTCTTGATTTTCATACGCATCGTTTTGATCATGCAACTGCAGGCAAAGTGCTCCATTAGAATCACGTTACGAGATACCACTGACTGCGAGGTGTGCACGGAAGAGAAGATGGAAACACTGGTTGCGAATAATGGGGCTGACAAAATTCTTATCTCTACGTGCCACTTCAGCAGCAGCAGAGGCTTTTGATCTCCTATGTGGCTTCACACCAATTCACACATGTTGGGTTTTAAAGGTTAAACGCTGTTCTTCCATCTTTCTATATCTTGATTGTAAGTTGGCTGTTCTGTTTGGGAGAAGCCTTTTCCTGGTCGTTGTGCTATCTGCATCGGGCTGTCTCTTTTGTTCACTATCTAAACCTTTTAGGCTCGAAGGGAATTGAAACGCTTGAAGGAGGAGGCTAGGCGTAAGCATGCTGTTGCAGTCATTTGGGCTTACTGGCTTGGACTGAAGGTACTTTCTCAAACACTCCCGTCTGTCAACATGATCTCAATAAAGCGTGGCATCTTACTAACACTTAATAAACAAGCTTTTATGTGGGCTCACTGATAGGGATGATTTTTACAGAGAACTACATTGCTTAATTTTGTCATGGACTTTACTGAAAAATTCATAAGCTGAAAATGCCTCATTTACAGCCGTATTTAGGCATCAGGTGGTTTTTGTCCTGTCAGAAATTTCAGTTTTCAAGTGAAAGACAAATGTCAGATTAAAAGGACTCATTACTGATGGTTCTCGACTTAAAAACCTGACCTACATTGGCAAAGGTCCTATCCAGAAAGATTACAAGGATGTATTTTCTTCTTGTGACCTCTGCTTGTTTGAATGGGAAGTAGGGTGGAGCTGTCGGACTCTCACTGCTGCTCAAGTTAGACCCCTGACCCCAGTGTCAAGGGCATGGTGTAAAGCTAATGATGATGTCCTGTTGCTTCCATCAGCCTTTTTAGGGCATGGCATTGCATGCGGTTACCTATGGCTTGTGGCAGCTATGAATTCCCAGAAAAATTGAGATGTACAAGAGTCTTTTGTTTTCTGTCCCTTGCTTTCCAAGGACTGGTTGGCAAAAGAAAACACATTCGTAATCTGGAAAAATGTAGTTCTGCTCTGTAAATAAACTATGAAAATGGCATCTTGAGATGTTTCAGGTCTGTGCCCAAATGATTTACATAATACAGTTTTCTAACGTAGTTTTACAGATGCAGTCCTGAAGAACTGCGGAAATCTAAATCAGTTTTGTTTGGCTGGGTATCCCGTTTGCCAATAGGGATATTGTAGACTACAGAAGTATAAAAGGAAACAATTTACTTGATAATGCAGAGTGAATGAAGTCCAGCTCTTATATTCTCATACTTAGTCTAACAATGATGAAATGGGAAAAATAGTTACAAAACATATAATTATAGATAATACATGTATATAAAAAATTCATTACAATACATGCATGGAAACCAGAGCTGGAAATACAAAGGAGCCATTTTAAGAGGTCGTTCTGCAGATCAGAATCACACTTGAGGTACTACTGCCAAAATGGGTTTGTTTTTATGATTTTAAAACAAGAATATGTCCCTCCTGAAAACTCAGAGGCTATTTTATATCAAACAGTGGCATTTAAAT